CCAGATTATCATTACTGGCTTAGGAGACCGAGATCATGGGAGAAAGAGGAAAATGGGGAAAGATTGTGTGAGTGTGGGGAGACCCCTACTTTGGATATCTCGGCTCTTACCTTCTCTATGTCACTCCATAGGCTGTTTTCTCTTCCTGCCTTTGAAAGACACTGACCAGCCCTCAACTTCTGAAAAAAATAAGCATATTTATTGAGGAATCCGAATCGAATACCATTTTCCCTTTCAAGTTCCCCCAAGCATTTGGAAGTAGCCGCTTTAAAATTTAGCGTTTGGTAAATGCATCCCCCAAAGAGCACGTATGTATAGGACCCTGGGAGATGGCGAAAGGCCCCTCCTGGGAGAGGGATGGCATGAGTAATGGGTTCAAGTGTGGCAGGCAGGTGGTAAACGATGATTATGGTAATAATAACTCGTGCCTCTCTCACAGGTAGTGAGCTCCAAGCACGTGGCAAGCATTAAACACGTTGAAATGGAGATGCATCTTTGAGATAAATAGGAGCCCAGGAGCTGCTTTCCATGGAGGAGCTGAGGGGTTGAGAACCGGAGGAGGTGAGGCACTTGGTGGGCCACCTCCACTGAGGCAGTGGCAGAGACTGCCTGCCTGAGCTCTCCACACAGCCGGCTTTGGCTCCAGAGCAGCCAGCCTCCTTAGTGCTCCTTGGGGTTTCTCTTTCCACTCTCTCCCCTTTCCCATAAGGATCATTCTCTGGGTCCAAACTCTTTCAGCCCGTCAACAAACAGGTCAAACCTCTAAAAATGCTAGCTTGCCCCAGTCTCACCCTTTCCATTCTGCCAAGTAAATCTAGTGTTTACCGTTGGCAGGTGATCCGAGCTGGTTTAGCACTCTTCCTTTGTTACCTGCTGGTGTTACCTGTGGGAGGCCTTTCTCTCAGACACACTCTAAATCCCTGAAGATAGGGCCCATGTTCTTTAAACTTTTCTTCTATTTATCCCTGCACCTCATTTGGTAATGGACACTCAGTTGGTGTTAAGCAGAGATTGGAAGAATTCAATGGAAATATGTAAGGGAAAAAAAGGACACCAGTCCCTACATTTCCCTACTCTATGGAGAGGTAGGAGTTACAATTTCTGTGTGAAGTATGGAAAAATAAACAAAAAATAACAAAAATAAACAACAACAAAAACAAAATGACAAATATCAGCCCCAAATCATAACAGTACCCAGCGAATGCATAACATATAATTGATGTTCAATGAAATGAATTCAATTAAATCAGATCAGAGCTTCTTCACAGTGGGTCTAAGCCCAAGGGAAAACTACAAGGAATTTACTTCATCCATGACCTGATTTGAACTAGAATTCTGGATTGCTTTATGGCCTGGAGGATCCTCAAGGGGAAGGGGTGTTTCTCGAAGAATCTCTGTGGTGGGCTCCTTTAAAAACACAGACTGATCGCAGGCCAGATGAGACCTACTTGGGATGATTTGAACAGCACCCTAGGCTCAGTCTGCCCACAAATGTCTAATAGATTAAAGGACCTGGTAGGCACCTTAGACATCAGCTACTCCAGTGGATTTCCAAAGTAATTTTGTTTTTATTACTATTGTTTTTAAAGCAGAATTTATTATTTTCCGATTAAGCATTATGCAGGATACTGACACAGATGAAGACAGAATAGTTCTGAAGTCAGGTTGGGAGGTGTGGATGCCCAATGTGATAACGCAACTGATAAAGCCACAGAGACCCTCCTAGGAGACCCTACTGTACCTCTATGAAACTATCTGAGCACTGTATTAAAAGCTTTTTTCTAATCCCAGCCCCCTTTTGATACAAGTGTGTCGACCAAATGCCTAATTTCAAATCCACACAGTTAGACAACAGCAGGATTATCTCTGGAATCCAGTCTCTTGGCTAATTAGCCAAGTTGTTTTTGTTTTTGTTTTTTTCCTGTATCACCTACCTGTGCTAGTGGGTTACGTCTTTGTGACCAGCAGGTCACTGTTAATAGGTACGTGTGGGACATTGGGAGGACCAGTACATTGGGCCTCCTCTTACCACAGAGCTGAGACAGGTCGGAAGTCCTATGAGTCAAGGTGAATTGGATGGAGTAAGTAGAAGCCCTTGACGATCCTAAATGCCACACACGTGGGGCCGAGGTGGTTCGTTCCCACTTGGCCACTCCTGCACTTCATGGTTGAGTCTCAGCTCTGGCTTCAGCTCATTTGGGTATCGCACGTGTGTCTGGGCCTGGATCAAACGCATGTACCCGTCTCAGTCCAGCCCGAGTTGAGTGGAACTGCCATAGGGACTTGCTCAGGGTGCTGGGAATTCTGCTCCTCCTGCTCACAGCACAGGATACGTTGTGCTGTCATCTTTTATAGTGTTTAAAAATGGGGTGGGGGTGGGAATGTCCCTATTGCACACTGTCCGTTCATCCTTTCACTGACAGAGGCACCAGGATATAGGAAACAATACAACATGGGGACTCAGGGGATTTGGATTCCAGACCAGATTTTTCACCAGTTAGCTGTGTGTCGTGGGGACATAGTATTTAACCTCTCTGTACCCCCATGCCCTCATCTCCAAAGTAATGGCCTCTGGCCCAGATGTGCTTCTAAAATATCTTTGGCTTTACTGGGCCATCAGAAAAATATAATGGTCTCTATATAGTAACTCTGAGTTAAATTGTATTAAAGCAAAACAAATGAGTATAAACAGTCCCATTATGAATAAAATGCTCATATATGCCAAGAGTTTTAAATTAGGCTGCATGACAAAAACATTTATTTCTGATATCAGTGAAAACTCAAGATAAGTCAGTAAAGATGGTATTAAGCCTTGTAAATATCATCCAACTGTGACTTGGAGCTGTGGAACTCTCCCCGTGGGTGAGAACATCTGGGCAGTCTGTTGGCTTCATTGCAGGCATTCACTTATTCCGTACATACTCACTTTGTTCTTACCATGTCTCCTTATTCAATTAATAAACATATATTAAGTTGATGCCATTGATTCATTCAGTAAGTGTTATTCAATACACCTTTAAGGAGGAACCTGCTACATATGTAACACTGTTTTCACTGTTAAAAAGAATAACAATAACAACCATAATAATAATAGTAAAAAGGTAAGTCCCTGATATGAAGAGCTAATACTCTCATTCAGAAGGGAAAATGTATATGGTAAAAAGATAAATAACTGTACATAACAGTGATAATAAGAGTCCAAGAGAAGTATAAAAGCTATAAGGTTTGGGAGTATGGGGGACTGGTTACGTGGCTAGTGCGCACCAGGAGGGTTCTAGCAGGCCTCGGGCTGTTCCTTGACACGTGATGATGTTAGCACAGGGGGAGAGGATGAGAGAGGTCGCTTAGGTAAGGGAACAGTAGGTGCAAAAGCAGTGACTTGGATAAGATTAAGAGGTGCGTGAATTTAGTAACAATCCAGGTCCATCTGGAGAAAAGGGTTTCCATAAGAGACTCGTGGAAGCAGTGAGTGTGGAGTCTTCCACTTTGGAGAAGTACGGAAAGCCAGGTGAAGGATTTTGGCCCGTATATCATAGGCAGAGAGATTTTTCTTTTTCTTTTTCTTTTTTAAGGTGTTTTGATTAATGGGAATGTTTTTATTAGTGAGATCACAGAAGAGTCTTAAGGACCAACATGGAAAGAAAAAGGGAGACTGCAGAAAATCACTGGGGAAGCAGGGGAGACAAGAGAGGTGTTAAAACATCAGAAAACATGACTGAGGCCACAGAGCTTGGAGGGCCCATGAGGGAGGCAGAGACCAGACGGGGGCCTCCATTTCGGAGTTCGGCTTCTTTTGCTCTGGATTCTGTGGGCTAGAAGGTAGTGTGCAGTACAAAAGGAAATGTCTGGAGGAGGATACTGGGGGAAGGAAGAATAAAAGGAAGAAATGGGGAGAAGATAGATCACAACAGAGATCAGACAAGAGTGAGGGATGAGAGGAACCAAGAGCACATGGTCAATGAGGTGGAAGACAAAGGAAATTAATCAAAATTATTATGTGGTGGGTTGGAGTTCAACTCATGGATTCAGGTGTGCAAGTAAATATAACCATTCTTATGTGAATTTTTCTCCTATTTCAAGGCCATGTTTTGCAGGAGGCAGTCATGTCAACCCAGTCTCTGCAGCTGCCTCCCATCAAATCCCTGAGATTGTCTGTCATCATAGCTCCGAGGTGATGGAGGTGCCTGGAAGGGGTGGGGCGTCTGCCCTTGGTTGCCGTCTGTCCGCTGGGCATGTGTCAGTACCGCCACGGTGACCAAACCATACAGATCACCTCCGAGGCGAGCTGCTTTCAGGGCCAACCAGGGCCGCTTCCGGGCTCTTCTCCTCCACTGCAGAATCATGGTGCTTGTTCCATGCTGGGGGTGGGGAAGTTCACCAGCCCACCGGCCTGGAAGGACCATGCAGGGCCATCTTCTTCACAGAGCTCCTGTATCACTGGCTGGGTCTTCCTTGCTTTTGGAAAACAAAGGTATCTGAGGTTCTGCCCCCTGCCTTCTCCCCACCCCCAGAGACCCAACCCCACAGTAGGACCAACCTGTTTCTAGATCTTCCTCCCTTCTACTCCAACTTTCCTCCCCTCCTTCCCCCACAAATGCAGACAATTGTCTCTATTCTTGAGGGCATCCCATCTATGATAACACCCAAACATTTATGGGCAGGAAAAATGACAAAGAGGGTTGTGTGACTTACTTAAGGTCACCCAGCTTGTTAGTGAAAAAAATGAGTAAAAATGAAAATATGCTAGCTTGACTACCTTTTTCTTTTCCTTCCTCACTCCCTTCTTTCCTTTTCTCTCTGTTTCTCTCTTTCTTTCTATGTTACTTTCTTTCTCTTCTTTCCTCCTCGTCTCCAAGAGGACTTAAAATGTGCCAGGTGGTATATAGGTACTGGGTATATCATCCCGAACAAATGGAACATGCTGCTTTCATGAACTGCCATTCTAGTAGGGGAGATGGACATTGAACACGTGCATACACAGACAATTTAAATTGTGGTCAGTACTCTGCTCACTCTGGCAGCACATACACTAAAATTGGAATGATGCAGAGATAAGCATGGCCCCTGCGCAAGGATGACAGGCAAATTCATGAAGTGTTCCATATTTCTTAGAGAACAAACTGATGGTTACCAGAAGGGAGGTGGGCAGGGGGATGGATTGAATAGGGGATGGGAATTAAGGAGTGGACTTGTGATGAGCACTGGGTGATGTCTGGAAGTGTTGAATCACTATATTGTACACCTGAAACTAATATAGCACTGTATGTTAACTAACTGGAATTTAAATAAAAACTTAAATAATTCGTGATAAGCACTATGGGTTCTATGGGAAAACTCTAGGGAGGATTAATTTAGGTTAGGCAATCAAGGAAGATCTATCAGAGGAAGATACATTTGAGCTGAGAACTCGAAGACAGGGATGGGAGCATTGCAGGTAGAGAGGATGGCGTAGGCAAAGACTTGATATGTTCACAGAGCTCAAAAACATTTGTGTGACAGAAGTACTCCAAAAAGGGAAAATGGAACAAGATGTGGTTGGAGAAACAGACAGGATCAAAGTCTATAGGGCTATATCAGGCAAGTTAAGAAATTTGGATTTTATTTTAAGCTTAATAGAAAATAAACTTAAGCAGCGGAATGACATAATCTTATTAACATTTTAAAAATTATTCTGGCTGCACTGTGGAAAATGGGTTGAAGTAAGGAAGTTTGGAAAAGAAGAAAGTCGTGGGAGTTGGGGGCTCTTCAGGCAGTCCTGGGGAGAGATGATGTGGCTTTGGAGCAGAGTTCTCCAAATGCAGATGGAAAGAAATGGAAGAATCAGGTCATGTTTTGGAGGAAGAGTTGTCAAATTATTGGATTTTAAGTGTTAGGGGAACAAATGTCCCCAATTGCAGACATGAATGACTGGTTGTATGTGGTTCTATTTATGATGAGAAAGACTACGAAAAGAACAGTTTGGGACAGGAAGTTGTTTTTTTTTTAAGATTTTATTTATTTATTTTGAGAGGGCAGGAGGGGCAGAGAGAGAGGGAGAGAGAGAATCCCAAGCAGATTTCGCACTGAGCACGGAGCCCAATGTGGGGCTTGAGCTCACGACCCAGAGATCATGACCTGAACCAAAATCAAGAGTTAGACGCCCAACTAGCTGAGCCACCCAGGTGCCCCTGGACAGGAAGATTTTTGGTTCCCTGCAAGAAGATATTTCATCTTGTGGTGGTGTGACCATAGCAGACAATGTATATACTAACTCATTGTTTCCAATTCCTGAGCATGAGAAAGAAAACGTTTACCAGCCTTGTCATAAATTGCAATCTTTTAAACAAGTTCAAGAAAATGAATTTTAAGGAAAATATGTCATTTTCTGTCCAACTCATGTGACCATCCCACCTCTTTCTGTCATAATTTTGGAGGCAGTCTTTTCTAGATGGCACAGCTGCAAGATGGTGGAGCCTTTTCAGCCTGGGTCCCTGAGCGACTGCCTTAGAGCTCTCTGCTCACCCTCAGTGTATCCTTCATATGAGTCAGGATATGCTGAGATTGTGAGAACTGATGGCTAACTCTTCAGGAATTTTCTGAGTTGCTTATTAGGTACAACCACTATTAAAAATTAAATAAGGAAAACTTAGAGAAATCATGTTACAAAGAAAGGTAATATATATTCAACACTTCTCCCTTCCCAATTATCTTACCACATTCATCTGTACTCTTGAGGTGTTTAGGTCAATTGTATCCTGTGCTAAAATACCAAAGGATGGTGTGATACTATGCATCTCTTTCCCACTTTGTGCTCAACAGCATCATGTTGGGAGCCTGAACTCAGCCATGGTGGGAGTATTTGTACCTTGAAAATGAGCACATGCTGCAAATCAGGGCTTGGTAAATTGTTGATTTGAAAACTTATGAAAATGGTGGGGGAAATGTCAATAATACAGATTAAAGGTATCTTGGGTTTGTAGCTGTTACATTGTGAGCAGCATAAAAAGTTTAGAAAACATTCAAAATGATTATCTAATCAGCAAAGAAGTTGCCGATATCATTGATGGAGGGAAGTTCAGCACTGGTCTTTGCAGTTTCACTTTTGTCTAACTTGTCAATATAAAAAGGTTAGTGAGTCAGAGATTGAATAAACAAGTGTGGGTTTTTTTTCAATGGCAAGAGTGAGTGGTGCATTTCTACACTATCTATAGGCAATCTTTATAGCCATGGGTTTGTTTGCTTTTTTTTTTTTTTTTTTAATATGGGGTAACATAATGGCCTCAGCAAAATCCTGTGCTGAGACACCAGTAAAGTTATATGAATTTGGGGTAGAGAAGGAAAACCTCCCTCTCTCTTTCAGACCCTGCATCTAACTGATGTTGTTCATTCTGCATCCTGTAACTCTCTCCACTTTGTCGTCCACACGCTCTCTGCTGACATTGCCCTAGTTGAGCTCTTTGTCATGGTTTTCTGAGCTCAAAATAGTTCCAGTGTGTCCCTCTAGGTCTTCTGCCACATTAATGCTAGATGTATTTACTTTAAAATGATGAAACCAGATTCAGGTACTCCAGAAGATGTGGTATAAGCATACAGTGGAATATTATTCAGCCATGAGAAAGAGGGAATTCTGCCATTTACAACAACTTGGATGGACCTTAAGGGCATTAAGTTGAGTGAAATAAGTCAGAGAAAGACAAACACTATATGATATCACTTATATGTAGAATATAAAAGAGCCAAACTTAGAAAAACAGAGTAGAGTGGTAATTACCAGGGGTTGGGGAACATGTGGAGATATCAGTCATAGGTCATAAACTTCTAGTTACAAGGTTAAGTTTGGGGATCTCATGTACAGTATGGTGATTGTAGCTAGTAGTACTGTATCATATACTTGAATGTTACAAAGAGAGTAGATTTGAAATGTTCTCACCACGAAAAAATGGTAATTATGGGACACGATGGAGGGAGTAGCTAATACTATGGTGGTAATTATTTTACAATTTATAAATATATCAAATCAACACATTGTAAAACTTAAACTTATACAAAGTTAAATTTCAATTACATCTCAATAAAGCTAGCAAAAATAAATTTAAAAAAATAAATACTGGTCTTCATTGTCCAAAAGACAGTATCTGGACATTTCAGTATGTGTACAAGGTCCTTTACTGGGTGTCCCTATCCTACTTTCAAACCTTAACTTCCATTTCTCTCTCACTCCCCTCACACAGCCACATCACCGCTTGCTGGTTGCTGAATATGCCACACACTTTCAAATGTCCATGACTTGCCCCACTTTTCTACCTGTGATATCATTGTTTCAAAGCCTGGTCAAATGTTACACTCTCAGTAAGCTTTCTTCAGTCTCTCCAAATCGTGGTCCTGCCAGTGTGCCCCTCTCTCAAGCAGCACATTGTCTCATCATCACTCAGGTAGGTGTCTGACCTGTCCACAAGCCTTGAGGGCAGGCACCTCAGACCCCCCCAGGGCTCAGCACAAAGCAGGCACCCAAAAGTTTTTTGGGTATTTTTCTTTCCAAGTGATTCTTATGGACTTAGAACCCTTCTCTGATGTCATCCACAGCCCTGAAATGAAGTACAATTTATTGAAAAGCCCAGAACCCCAGATCAACTAGCTAAGTAGTGGTTTGCCTAAGATGAACTGCACACGTGGCAACTTTTCCAAGTTCTTCATCCCAAGTCAGCCACAATACACCACTGACTTATCTGAGAACATGTCACAGGACACACTTGAAGATTTCTCTTCATGCCAGGAGGCTCCCACCATATAGGCTTGATGAACATTCTCATATGCATTTGTCTAGTTATAGGCTAAACAATTGCTACATTGATTTATTTGCAATTTAGGCAACTTACTTTAATGTCATGTTTATTGCTGTTTTACTGTTTTAAAAAGTAGTAGGTCCAGAACGATCCTTGGGCATCAGAGCTCAATGCTCTACAGTCCATAAAAAGTAAGTGACATCAAAGAGTGTTATTATATCCAGGATCTCTGCACACTGATATATGCTCCTCCACACTCGTGCATAAAGTCTAAGTTTCCAAGCATGCGGTATTAGGTAGTTAAAGCACAATGATGTTAATTTGTGAAAAAGTTGACTCACATAGCCATGCAATAATCACTAACCCAAGACTAGAATTAAGTGGAAGTAGACAGAATGGGTTTTGTTCCCATGTATTGGCTGGATGACTTGTACATCCCTTACTGTTATGGGCTGAATTGTATCCTCCCAAAATTCATTTGTTGAAGTCCTAACCCCAGCACCTTAGAATGTAATTGTATTTGGAAACAGAGCCTTTAAAATGAGATCACCAGGTTGGACCCTGATCCAATATGATTTCTGTCCTTAAAAGAAGAGATTAGGACACAGGCATACTCAAAGAGGGAAGAGCTTTTTTTGACACTGGGAGAAGTTGGCCATCTATAAGCCAAGGAGAAAGGCCTGGAACAGACCCTTTCCTCATGGCTCAGAAGTGGCTAACCCTTCCAACAATATGATATTGGACTTCTAGCCTCCAGAATTGTGAGAAAATAAATTTTTGTTTCTTCAGCCTCCCAGTCTGCCTAGCAAATATAGGCCAACCCATGCTAAATAGTCTTTAGAAAAGAATTGAGGTTCAAGAATATCATTGCATGATTATTACAACTGATTCCCATGGCCCAAGATTCAGAGCCTATTCTTATAGAAAAGATGTGAAATCATTGCTAAATCTTAGCTTTGAGGACGTAGAAAAAATGGAAATGATTGTTATTTTTCCCTCTACTCTAGAAACACCATTGAATCCCATTAAGAGACAAGTTCAGCTATTATAATAGAAAACTATGTGAAATGGCCTTTTCTAGAATAGCAGATGTCAGTGCTTTGAGGATGGATGGCATCAAGATGACTATATATTTTGTGGCCTATAGATTAGATAGCAAGTGGATAAATCAGGAATCTTGTATAAGAAATGTGTTTACAACATCCAAGCTTGTTCTTACTTAGTAATAATGATTTTTCTAACCAAATAAGGCCCAAACTTATTATTAATATCGATCACAGGACACTTGTAAATTTTCAGCCACATTTTTGCCTCTTGCCTATATTTGATCCCTCTGATAAATAAGGT